TGCCCGTCAGGCGCAGACTCTGGGCACATCGCAAGGCAAGAGGTGGGCAAGGAGAAGGAAGAGGCGGGGACAGGGCGACAAGGCCTGGGCGTGGGGACAGGGGTACCCTGTTCAGAGGTGACCTGCACGTTCAAGTTACGCAGAAAAGTATCAAAGAGGCCAGACAGTCTCGGCCCTCGGCAGCTGCCCGGGGTGGGGGGGCCGGAGAAGGGCAGCAGGGGTGAGGCGTCCCCCCACTCCCCGCCTTGGGGCCCCCCTCCTCACCCCAACCCCGACAACAGGGCCAAGAAGTCTGTGCTGTACAAAACAGGCCAGGGTCAAGGGTCCAGTCAGTGGAGAGATGTCCCAGCAGAAAGGAGGCCCGGCTGGGCCGGGCGGAGCAGCTTCCAAGCTCCAGCTGCCGAGGCCGGGCCCTGCCTCCCATCGCCTCCAGAGCCGGAAAGTCTTTCCTCAGACTCTATGCTGATCAGGGCTCCTGTTAGCAGCTGACAGGGAGACCCTGCCCTTTCGTCCCCGGCGCAGCTCAGAGTCCTTTGGGAGAGCTGGGGGCTGGTTGCAACAAGGCAGAGGAGGAGCGTTCAAGAAACGTCTGCAGTCTTCCTCACTTGCTCCCTGCCAAGGGGGCACCTGGAGCCTTGTGGCAGATGTGGTGGAACCACCATCAGCAAAAAAGAAAAAAGTAGGAAAGAGTCTGGCCCAACCTGGGGCAGTGTCTCGAATAAACTTCTGGAGGAGGCAGGGACCAGAGGAGGCCAGGATACAGCCAGCCAGCGGCCCTCCAGACTGAGGGGCTCAGGGGAGCTGGACCCACAGCTCCGCCTCCCCTGGGGATCTGCAGGGGCCTCCAGGCCGCTCTGGAGAGGAGAGGAGACGCCCAGGGGACTGGGTGGATCTGAGCTCCCCCAGGTCGAGTTGTGGAGGAGCCAGAGCCATCTCCCCTCCCCCTGGCTGCATCCCTGCCCATCCTGTCTTCAAAGCCTGCAGGCTGGTGGTGGGTGAGAAGTCAGTCTGAGATCAGGGCCTTCCCTCGGCGCTTGAATAGAGGGACGAGAGGGCAGGAGGCAGGACAAGCAGAGGTCAGATCGATTCCTGGGCTGTGATCCTGGCCTTCAGGGTCCCTGTGAATGAGCCACGGGGCAGGGGAGGACTCCCCATCCAGAGACATCACCCCCTGGCCGCAGCACGGAGCTTACTGTAGCGCCCACAAAATCTGAGAGAGAAAGAGAGAATTGGAACAAGTCAGAGACCACCAGGGCATAAGGGCTCCCTTGGACATTCCCCCAGGACAAAAGTTGGCAAACGAGTGAACTGCCCAGGCTTCAGAATCCCAGTCAAGCCTCTGACTAGCAAGATGGCCTTGAGCAGCCCACTCAAGCTCTCTGAACCCAATTTCCTCATCTGTGAAATGGGAATAATAGCCTGCTGCAGGGGTAATACCAAAGGGTCAAAAAAGACAGGCTGAGCGTGGTGGCTCATACCTGTAATTCCAGCACTTTGGGAGGCAGAGGTGAGAGGATTGCTTGAGCTCAGGAATTCAAGACCAGCTTGGGCAATATAGCAAGACTCTATCTCTACAAAAAAAAATTTTTTTAAATTAGCCTGGCGTGGTGGTACACAGCCTGTAGTCCCAGCTGCTCAGAGGCTCATGCGGAAGGATCATCTGAGTCCAGGAGTTCAAGGCTGGGGTGGGCACTCCAGCCTGGGCAACAGAATGACACTCCAACTCAAAAACAAAAAAAAGGTTAAAAAAAAAATGTCAGCCAAGGGTTTGGCACAGTGTTTGGCACACAGTATACTCTAGAAATGGTAGCGATTTTTAAAAAAAATTTGTATTCCAGAGGGCTTTGGCTCAGAACTGAAATGAGAGGCTCATTCATTTTCAACTCCCAGTGAGGGATGGAAATCCTGGAACACTGAAGGAAGGCAAACTGAAGTTCCCTTACGCTGCTTTGTTTTTTGATTATTTTTTTTTAGTTGGAGTCACCCTGTCACCCAGGCTGGAGTGCAGTGGCATGCTCACAACCACCACAGCCTCAACCTGCTGGGCTCAGGCGATCCTTCCACTTCAGCATTCCAAGTAGCTGGAACCAGAGGCACACGCCAGCACGCCTAGCTAACATTTTGATTTATTGTAGAGATGAAGCCTCGTCAAATTGTCCAGGCTGGTCTTGAACCCCTTGGCCTCCCAAAGTGCTGGGATTATAGGGGTGAGCCACTGCACCTGGCCCTGTTTCTTTTCTCTCTCTCTCTCTCTCTTTTTTAAACACTGAGTTGTCTTAGCCGGGCGTGGTAGCGCGCGCCTGTAGTTCCAGCTACTCGGAAGGCTGAGGGGGAAGGATCGCCGGAGCCCAGTAGGTCGAGGCTGCGGTGG